ATATATATATATATATATATATATATATATATATATATATATATTGTTCGGGTCTTTTGTGAGCTCTTTATAGATTTTGCCATAATTATAAATGTAAACAGTTACACTCTTGCATCCTGTTGAATAATTTTGATCACAATATGGCGTGAAATAAATGAAAAAAAAAAACATATAGATGAAGTTATTTACTTGTGATTAAAATACAATAGAATTGCAATCCTTTATATAAAACATAGGTATGCCACACGGAGGAGTCATTACCAGACGCATTTGCATCTCGAGAGCCTCATCAGTGGGACGTGGGGGAAGAAATTTCGCAATTAGCATCATGCCTTCATTTAAATGTTAATTTATTCATTCTTTAATATATATTAGTTAATCGAAGGTGACCTTATCTAGGGGACAAGTAATTAATTAATTACGATTACGCAAAATATTAAAGGAGAAGGATTTAGTTTAGAGTTGGATATTATCGCACATTTACGAAGTATAACAATGTTTAATTAAAAAAAAACGCATTCTTGATATACGTCAAAATAAATAAAAGTAGGTACTAGGCTAGTAAAGCCTAGGTTTTACTGGGTGCCACGCATTGATCAAAATGCCTTTTTTGTACTATAATATGCATGTATTATACATATAAACCTTCCTCTTGAATCACTCTGTCTATTGCTTAAAACTGCATTAAAATCAGTTGTGTAGTTTAAAAGATCTAAGCGAACAGGCAGTAGAAGCGACTTCATTTTAAACTATCTATACATAGCTATAATAAAACTGTAGAGGTCGAATGTCTGTACATAGAAAAAATAGCTAAAAACCGAGTCAGGGGGATGTAGGAAGAGAAATAGAACAAATTCAGGTTTTTATTTTTTTTATTTCTTTGTCTGTTTGTCTGTTTGTACGGGCTAATCCCCAAAACTGTTGGACTGATTTAAATTTAATTTTGCATGGTGGTACCTTATATCCCCGGTCAACATATTAGATACTTTTCATCTTTTCATCCCGGAAAATTAAAGAGTTCCCGTGGGATAGTTAAAAAACTATAGTAACTTTTACAGCTTGGTACACCACAACTTTGCCCCTAATTTAGTAAAATTTGGCATGATGATACCTTAAATTGCCGTTCAAACAACAGGTTACTTTTTATCCCGGAAAAATTAATGGTTCCCGTGGGATAGATTTATGGGTGCTAGTGTAAAGATATAAAAAATATTATACGAATTTACCGACGTTGAATCTGCATTTACATTACCAGATAGGTACCTTTCTGAAAATGTACTGATGATTTTATTATCAATTTCGATATTAATAGAAATATTTCTTATTGTATATGATATAAAGCAAAACATATATAAGTATACTTAACTGAACATAAACCACCTAAAAGATTATTAAAGTCTGACAAAGCAAAGAGATCGAGAAAAGTCCCCTTTGTTGCTTCAATATGCTTTACTGTTAAGACGTTAGGTAAATACACAATGGGGTCTTACTTAATGTCTTGATAAGTATTTTTTTATTTACAAATTATTATACTCAATAACAAATTTGTTTTTCGATAATGGAGCCAGCCTGTTGGATCCTGACATAGTTCATGTAATTTTATCTTACCAATATTATAAAAGTGAAAGTTTAGATGTTTGGATGTTTGTTACTCAATCACACCAGAAAGGCTGAATAGACCTGGATGTTTGGCACAGAGATAGTCTGTAATAGCACATAGGCTACTTTTTATCCCGGAAAAATGTACAGTTCTTGTGGAATGGATTTGTATTTGTTTTTGTAGTAAATATATACATTATACACATCTAGACGAATAATTTTCTTAAATCATCCCCTACAAATTCATGTCACTTTTTAATACAATGAATAAAGTCAGAAAATTTCGAGGTTGCACATAAAAACCAACCAATGACAATTTAACATCTTCTTTTTCTTCTCCCTGCCTATTTCCCAATCCCTTGGGGTCGGCGCAGTACACCTTCTGTACTGCTGATATGATTTAGCAAAAGTTTTACGACCGGCCGTCAACCCTCCTTGGGATATATAAATTTAAAAACAATTTAACATACTAGTTTAAAATTATAACAAAGAGTTGTATTGGAATGCATTCTAATAAATTTTACCATATACTATGCATCTCAAGCGCCATCTGTCGTCGGTACAACGTATCACCAACGTTTCACTGCAATCGGATAAGGGCTGGTGGTCATAGAAAACGAATATATATTTTAATATATTAAGAATGCGATAGGTCAGTGGATCTTCTTTTAATTTTTCGTATAAAGACGCTTTATCTCTCCACCACCTTTAAATCCACTCCCTCGATTGAAATGAAAGTTAGTTTATTATTTCAGAAAATAAACAGTGAATAAATAAAAGCCGCATTGAAATTCTTCGAGCAGTTTCCAAGCGATGAGTGAAAATTAAAAAAGATATTTTATTCAAAGCATTCGACTCATCATTGAAAGAAATAACGATATTGAAAAATATATTTACTGTACAAATTCAGTCTGAGAGGCAGTGGTAGTTCAGTGATAACACTCTCGTTTGAAGAGCCAAATGTCGCGGGTTTGGACCCGTGTCTTGAATCATTCTCTTACATGGTGAAAAGGAAAATATCTATGTACTTGTTTGAGAGAATCTGACTGGTTTTCAAAAGATATGTGATGTCCGTCATATTAATACCAGATGAGACAAAAATAACTAATATGTTGATACTGTTGATTGAAACTTCTCAAACTTAATCTATCAATATATGTATTGGTAATTATAAAATACGTCCTGCCACTGCTCCACCTAGCACTCCATTATCGTTATTCAGATTACACAACGATTGATGCTATATCTCGGCCCATCCAAGGACATTCGTGTGATTACTGCCGTCTTATATAGTATAGTATATTATATATTGGCCGCTGCATTCGAGATGATGGATTGTTTCCTTCTAAGACAGCTTGCATTATCACACCAAAATATACCTAGAGCAGTCGGAGTAAGGCCCAATTCGATAGTTCTTGGTATTCGGTAAAGTAGAGCGCCTTTTTTTTACTTAGCTAATGAGACTCTCGTCACAAGGGCTGTAAAATACTTTCAGTTTCAATTTCATTTTATTAATGACCTTTTGATAGTCTCCGTCTGTTTAATTAATTAGGTGTGTAATGTGTGGATATTAGCATCAAATGGGTTTCCTATTTTGATGGTATTTTGCAAAATTTTGTGGTTAATAGACATGTTTTGATTATATTTTTTTATTATGTAAGTTATATCAATATTTTTTGATTTAAATGTAATAATATTGGTTGTTAATAGATACTTATATTATTTCATCATTATATAATAAAGAAATTATTATATAATGCGAATTATGTAATTGTGTCAAGGTCAGAGTAGCACATTCACTTTTATTAATTACAAACTAGCGTCTATCCCTTGCTTCACTTGGATGAATCCCTTGGTGCCTACAAGTAACTTATGTATCACTGGCATTGCCCGCGGCTCCGCCCACGTTTAGATGACCACAAACCAATTTATATAGATTATATATATATATATATATATATATATATATATATATATATATATATAGTATAGATTACAAGTCATAATACATATATTTGTGTACTAAATTACACCCAAATTTGTTTAGCCGTTTCAGTGTTATACTTCAGAATAAACAAACATACAAACAAACAAATTTGCGCGTTTATAATACGTAGTCCCTGATAAGTAGTTATTAGGTATTATAATATTTAAAAGTAAGTCTCTGCATTTAAGTACACATCGCCAGAGTTGTCCGTATTTCATTTTAGTTAGTTACTCGCCCGCAGCTTGTGTAGGTCGTTTATCAAAATTTTCTAATTTGTTTATAACGGTTCGTCGTATTACAAGGTTCTCTGACTCCGAGATAAAGTTTCGAAGACCTAAGAAGGGTCGTCCAAGACGTCACCGGTAATTGATGACGTTTGTACATAAATAATATGAAGGAGTGAAAAGGTCCTAGAGAAAGTAAATTTTAATATGTATATAGAAATTATAATATATATTTATAGGAAAGCTTATTATTTTTTATTATTTATATTTTATTTCAATAATTAAAATTAAACTTTTAATAACCCATCTATCTATACTTATAAATAAAATTAATTGTCTATTTGTGATTATATAGAGCTCATGCAGCTATTGGAATGTATAAAAAACAAACAATCAAAAAAAGGTCTGTCTGTCACTTTGTACTACTTATTCCCTGAAAGTCCGAATCAATGTAAAGAAGTTTACTGGTGGATAGAAAATCTATCACCGTGCCAAATTTAATTCAGATCTGTTCAGCCGTTCTAGCGTGATTGAGTAACAAACATCTTTCTATCCAAACTTTCGCATTTATACAGTAACTACTTAACTAGCGACTCACCCTTGCACTGCTCGGGTCCGTCCTTAGTTACATTTTAACGTTTAGTATAGATTTTTCAGAGATGAGATATTTTCCCGCTATAAAAAGTACCCTACATGTGGAACCGGATGACCAGCTATCATCATACCAAATTTCATCAAAAATAGTCCACTGGTTTTCTCGTGACGCGTTCCCAGCTAGACAGACAGAAATTCTAAAAACTATAGAATAAGTCGATACGATGTGTCGCTAATAATGATTATTTCAATAAAATTTTCCAAAAAAAAAATTAATGTACAGGTTCGACTTATTTAGCATTTTATTATATGTATACATAAGATTTATTTAAGTCGATGTATACTTAGGTAGATATCTAACTTGGAATATTACCACATATTATGTATAATAAATAGACCATGAAAATTATACGTTTCTACTGTAAAATCATATAGGAAAATTTTATTTGGACATTCTTCACAACCAAACCCGTTCGTGCCTATTAATTCCCTCCTGAGCACGGATAAATTGTCTCGCGCTTACATAATAGTTTATGGCTTATAGCTATAAACAAATAACATGAAGATGTCGTGTTTGTCTAAACGCCCAACAATTTATGGATACAATGTTGAGAAATAATATTCCCTTTATTGGCTATAAAGTATCAGCTTTTACAAACGATGATCTAAAACTAGCTCTTATTACACCACTAGTGAACTGGACTTTGGTTTACATCGGTCCTCATACTTTGTGCCATCCAGAGTTTCATGGTTCCAGAGACTACGGGAAATCTACGAGACTAAATGCCTCCGACTTCATTACCTTGGAAAATGAGGTGGGCCTAACAGGTAGCTTACATATTATGTCTGTCCCCACGAGACCGTGCAATAATGCATACTTATATACTTGAATTTTGAACTCACGAAAAGGCACTTTAATTTTATTTGTAAGTTAAGAATACTTTATAGAAGATAGCACGCCTTGGAAATGAAGTGATCGCCTCCAGGATACTTCAACTTTATAGAAATATTAAAATTTTTAATTTAACTTTATAAAAAAGATAACGAAATAATATTAGTCCCGCTGAGTTTCTTTCGTCAGTTCTTCTCAGGTCTGAGGCTTCTTCTTTCCGAACTGCTAGTACACTCATGACGTTCAGTAAAAACTTGTAATAATTTGATGCTAATAAAATATTTTCAATTTGAATAACAAGTGGTATTAGGCGGTAATTTAATTTTAATCGCATATTCTCGTATTTATTCAAACTTTAGACTTGTGAAGTAGACTAATTTAGAAATGTAGAAAATGTGAAGATCAAATATACTGGGTTGAAGCGATTAAAATAATTTAGAAACAATGTAGCTTATTATAATGTCTGTTAATTGGAGGTGACAGATAATTATGAAAATTGATTAAAATAATAATAAATAAGAATGCGAATAATTTTCACGATATTTATACTACGTTAATTTAAGTTTGTATTAATATATTTTTTTTTAATTGGTAACCAAGAGTGCCGTTTGGAAAACAAAATGACATTCTGCAATGGTTGAAGACCAAAAATTTAAAAACTGTATTGAAATGACATATTTAATGGTTATTTGATAGATATAATGTAATTTCTTTATATTTTTTTAGATTTCTATTATTCATCGATTGCAGAATGAAACATTGCCTAAGCTTCTAGATGATCTAGATGTTCTATTATTATTAGGTAGGTTAGTAACAGCACATATGAAAACCGGGCTCGTTCTCGGGACTGTGGTTGGGAAAATTCATATCGCAACGTGGGCGGCGCTGCCGGAGGGCGGAAAAGGGCGATGCTACCGCTGCCAAATTTCAATTCGCATTTATTGGTTTACATATCCAGCGCTACAATCTATACATATAATAAAATTCTGAGTCGAATCTGTACATTAAATATTTTTTTGGAAAATCTTATTGAAATAGTTATTATTATCAATACAGAAGCCCGAATGTACAGTTTTTAGAATTTTGGTCTGTCTTTCTGTCTGACTGTTTGTCTGTCTATCTGTTTGTCTGTCTATCTGTTTGTGACCGCATCACGAGAAAACCACTAGACAGATTTTGATGTTTGGTATAATAATAGCTGGTTATCCGGGTCAACATATAGGATACTCTTTACTGCAGGAAAATATCTCATTTCTGAGAAATCTATACTAAACCTTAAAACGTAAGTAGGGATGATCCTGAGTGGAATGAGGGTGAGGCGCTAGTATAAGCTATAATATGAACTAAAATTACGTTTAATATCCGGTTTCTGGTTCGAATCATAGCCAGAGTAAATATTTACATTGACATATTAGTTAAAGCTTTTGATTAAATCTGTATGAACATAACCTTCTTTAGACACTTATTAATATGATCTTTAGATTACATACTTGTCAGATTGAAATTTTACTTAGCCAAGTTTTTATTCAAATAATATGAGTCCTAATATAAAAAAAGTAATCTGAATAACGTGTACAATAAAAAAGACCCTTAAAAGAAAAGGATTTATAAGGGTTATTTCTATAGTCGTTCTCGTGCGTCGCGTGATTATACACATAGACAAACATTGTAAAAACTGTGGATTTAAGTATATTCAAAATAACACGCAAGAGCTCCTTATCGACAAAAAGGAGAATGAACTTAGGATTGCTTGCTTTGTGAACTGGGATTTTTAATCGTAGTTAAATATCGTCACTTATAACGTTGTAAGCTGGAACTCGGTATTGCGGAATTCAAACTTCCTACAATATTGAGTAATTAATTGTTATTCTTTACAGGTGTCGCTACAGATAAGATAAATAAAATCTCTTTTATTTTATTAAATACTATTTTTTTCTGACATTTTTTCTACTCGCATCTATTTATTTATTTACCAGCAAAACCTGCGGCTTCAAAAAACTATGAAAAAACTCGAAAAAGGTAGGTTTCATACAAACTTTCATCCTCTATTTTACCCCCTTATGGGATGAATTTTGAAAAATACTAAAACAATTATTTGTTTAATTGTATTGAAGACCATTAATACTAAGTTTCAAGTAATTCTGATCACAAATATTTTTTTGGATTGTATTATATCGTGTTTTTCCGTAGAAATGAGATAATCTCACGCGGCAAAAAGTAGCCTATATCACTCTCTAGCCCTCATACTATCTCCACACAAAATCATGCCAATCTGGCACTCTGTTTTTACGTGAAAGACAGACAGACAAACAAACAAACACATTTTCATATTTATAATATTAAACTATGGATATGGATATATTTATTGTACACAACAGTACCTGAAAACAAAGTATCTGAAAGAACAAGAGCACAAAAGGTGTCCTTATCGCTAATTAGCGATTTCTTCCAGATAATCTTTGGGTTAGGAAATATGAAAGACTATACAGGTGGGTGGCATCGTCGTACGTACATGAATAGGCATGACTAAGCTAAGTTAGATTTATTCACTAAAGTCCGGAGAGACGTAAGTTATAGCACGAAAATATATAAAACATAAGTAATTATAAATATTGGTGTCATAAGATTTGTTTTGATTAACAGTTTAACGAAAAAGTCTACAACTTACAAGAATAACACAAAGCTCGAGTGGAACAGCTCCCTCGATTACCAGAATCAAATAAAAGAAAGTTCTCACTAAATTCTTTCCGCAATGAAAAGTTTTGTTCTTGCTGTAAAGCTGAAAGTTCAACAAAAAGCATAGTTTAGTTCACTCCCGGGGGCAATCAACAGATTACTTTTCAATATAACTGAAGCGAGGTAGAGATAAACTTAAGAAGGTTTTTTTAAGATGCTTAAAGTTGTTTTATTTCGAAGACTTTAATTTAAGTTACGTTCTAACTAATCACACTACTATTATAAAAAAACTGGATGTGTGTGTGTATGTTTGTTTCTTTTTCCCACTAAAACGGTTGAACGAATTTGGATCAAATTTAGTACACAGATAGAGTATATCCTGGAGTAACACATAGGCTAGTGTTAGTTATTCATTATAATTGTGAAAATGTGACGCTACCAGTGACGTAACTAGCCTTTTGGGGCCCTAAAACAAAAAAGTGGAAGTGGCCCCCTTTGCCTATATTGAAAACGAATATGGTCCACAGACGGAGACAGTTTTGGAACTTCTCACTTTTTTCGAACCGCTCTCACGGAAGAACGGGTAGAGTGAAATTTAGTAAAAAAAACACTTGTCGTTTTATAGAACATAAGTTAACTTTCCTCGTGGTACTCCTAAAATATAATATGCGGAAATTCAGGACACTTTTTTCTTGCGTTTTTTTTAACTTGTATAACGGCCGTCCAGGAAAAAATGTTTTGATATAAAAGAATCGTTTGCGATCGAATCAAGGGAGCCACGCGACCGCATTGCTTGCATTGGCATAGCTACATGAACGCTACATGTATATAATACTAGCAAAACCCGCGGCTTCGCCCGCGATCAATCTACAAAGAAGTAACTCTTTTGCACTTTATCACTATAGTCGCTATAGTTCCTAAAATAGAAGCGACTCACCCTCGCTTCGCTCGGATTCGTCCCTGTGTGCTTTATAATATTAAATTATTTGGATATTATTCATACAAAAATATTAAAATCGCGATTAAAAGTGGGTAGGAAGGCGAAAAATGCTTTAATACCTAGTCCCATACCTACCAAATATACAAAAAAACCCATTAAAATCGGTCAAGCCGTTTCGGAGGAGTGCGACCACAAACACCGTGACACGAGATATTTATATATTAAATTAAGAAGATTATAAATACAAAAGGCACCTACAGACGCGATCCAAAGAAGAGAGGGTAAGTCGCTTGTATCCCAATTCGATAATAAGTTTGTTGATGTGTCCTTATTTCACGCAGAAATGGAGAATTGGAGGGACGAAACTTTCTTGTTCGAAGATACTTTATGGGTCAGAAAATGATATATAGTACTTGTAGTCTGCTATTTCAACCCTTTACTTATATCGTAAAAATAAAAATATGTATTATTTTGGGTAGTTTGTAATTTACATAATCTTTAAGAACTTATGCATATATGAAGATAATTTTTTATGATTACTGCAAGGATAAGAACATAGCCTATTTTTGAAGTGAAACTTCTTTAGAATCGTTGTGATTTGAAACTTGATGAAACGGAAATGTGTCACAACAAACAGACAAACACATAAATATATGGGATTAAGCCGGCGAGAGAATGAGATAGAATTTAGACATTACAAAGGAAGTGAAAAATAATTAAAATAATACTGAATAATATGTAATGTAATATATGTTATACTGTTCTTTAGTGCACGTATATGTCAAATAAAGAAATTAACAAAAACGATACAATTACAATAAAATTCGTTAGTTGTTAAATAAAATGTTAAATAATTTTTAAACTTGGTATAAATATTATAGAAAAAATAACCATTACAGTTATCCTACTCCCGATCTATATTCATCTCATTCTCTCATAGGTTACCTTTCTGAAATATCATTTCTACCGCGTATCATGCACACACACACACACACACACACACTCTTTTTTAATTTGTTTTATTTATTTATCTCGATTTATTAGGTTAGTGACCGAGTGATAGCTGATAGCACTTATATTGAAAGTGCTACTCAAATGCTACCTGACCGTCGGCGGAACGGTATTTTGTAAAGCGTTTTACTTAACAATATTGTTTTACACACATTTTAATCGAATTTTGATAATAAACTATTTTATCCATCGAAGTAACTTATTAACGTAAAACTTTATATTCCAATTTAAAAAAAAATAGGCTTCCATACAAAGGGGGCAATGAATGAAAATCGGTTCGTGAATTGCGTCGCGCAATTGAAAAGAGAATTTGCTTTCATTCGCATATTGTAAAGTAAAGCAAAGTTTTACCGCAGTTCTGAGATATTGAAATTGCGGCGAGCTGAGTGCTTCCTATAAACTTGCTCAGTATCGCATAAGATCTGTAAATGGATGAGCCATCCATCCAACTTAAAATATATTTTATTTAAATACCAATTTTGAATTATATAGTTACGCTTAAGGCTTATTTTTTAATGTGTCATGATGTAGAATTGATACAGTTGTAAGGATTTGAAAAACATTTTTGTAGCAAAAGTAGTAGTTTTTGTAGTAAGGAAATAATCTATTCCATTTAAATATGTTATTTGGGATGTCTAATAAATATAAATAGTAAAAACGAAGTAAGTAAACAAAGAAAAATTATCATTCATCACACTGACTGAAAAAAGTCATACTATTGCAATATAAATTAATACATTTACACGCACTTCCAGCATAATATTTCGAAGCACATTTGCATCTACGACAGCCAGGATTTCTCCCGGAGCGTTATAGGATTGTCTTAAAACGCATCTCGAAGTTCGTAAGGATTTCCGGATCTGACATAATCTCGTCACTATGGCCAATTAAATAAACCTTACCAGTTAATGGGATAATTATACTATAGTTTGTATTTCTGTGTAAGTCTGTTAATCCTTCACCTTGTTGTAGAAAGGACTGAACGGATTTTGATAAAAGTTAACACACATAAACTATACAATAGAGTAAGACGAAGGCCACTATTAGGCACTTAAAGATGCACCCGAGTGAAGCTAGGGCAGGTGGCTAGTTATAAATGAAAGAAGTACATAATATTATACATAAATTCCAGTAGACATGAACTAATATTCAAGTTATAGACGTAAGTACCACATGGATATTTCATTTCATTTCATGTGCAAAGCTTTTTATACACTCATTTAGAGGATGATCTGTGGCACCATGTTTATTACGTGTCTTTATGTGTTGAAATACTGAATGCGGCGCCGGAAGGGCAGGGCGCGTTCATGTGCAGCTATTCGGTACGATTGATGACATAAGGGGAGGCTATAGGAGGTATATATATATATATATATATATATATATATATATATATATATATATATATATATATATATATATATATATATATATATATATATATATATAAATAAATAGGATGTAATTTGTCCGTGCCAAATTTTATCCCAATCGGTTTAAGCGTGAAAAAGTAACAGGCAGAGTTATTTTTACATGTAAAATATTAGTTTCGATGAAGTGATTTGTACAACAAGAAAATATAAGAAAATGGTCGTTATTTGCAAATGTAGGTATATTAAAAAAAATAAAAATAAAAATCTATGTTAAAATATTTAATAACAGCACCTATATATGATATTGCTAAATAATTGTATTTTGATTTGTTTAATTCCTTCTAGGTTAGGTCTCGGGAGGATTTTTACACGATTTAAGCCATTTTTAGTAAAGCTCGTCTTCACAGCTTGTCACAGCAGTATTGTGATTCAACGCATGTGCAAGCCAGAGACTATAAGATAAGCTTTCGTATTTCTTACTAAAGCTTCTTACCGAAATCCTTTATTTTCGGATAGTGACCCGAGGAACTTCTACCATCAGACTATATTGCAAACGATATAAAAAATATTAGTGACGATACGTCGAATCAACAAATAAATCTACATATTTTTAATATTCCTAATTTTAAGCTGTACATTTGGTCTTTGAATAAAGCATTTTTTGTATGACCCATACAAATTGGTATGCTTAAGTGAACAAATAGAAACAGGAGGTACTTTGATATCTATGTTACTTTAGCATAAGCTACATAATAGACTACTAGAATAGGGATAGAATATTTCAATACAATATGACACGTTTGGCTCAGTTTGCAGTGATCCTACTTGTTGTGTCGCGGGTTCGAGTCCCGCTGGGGGCATTCATTTGTGTGATGAGCACGAATGTTCGTAATCTAGTCATGGTTATTTATATTTATAATATGTATGTATTTAAAGTTATATTTGTGTAGTGTATCAACTATCTGGAATCCATAACACAAGCCTCGTAGCTTACCAGTTTGGAACTAGATGGTGCTGTATTAATGTTCTAAAATATTTAGTGATATACTAAAAACCGATAAAGAACAGTTATATGGAAAACAATCTTTTCCTTTTGTATTAATTAGGGATAAATTTAACGCCTGTATAGACAAAGAAATTAACATATTTGCCAGAAAATTATAAAAGATTAAAAAGAAGTAGGTAACTGTCGAAACCTAGTGTCTATATACTATATGTATATGGTTCAAACTGCCTAATATATTGTAACGTAGGCGGCACAGTCGGATCAGCTAGGGTGGTTAAGTAAGATAAAGCGAAGTATTAGGCACCACTACATAAGACGTGCATTATCTCAAATGGGCGGAGACAAATTCGTCTAGTCGTACAGTAATAACATGTCTGTCTGTACATTATTAATTTGAAGGATCTGTTTTTATTGCCAATTTTTCTAGAAAAGTTCTCTGAACTAATAACTTTAGTCTTCACATGTTAGCTAAAATAATAAACTCAAATTCACTAAAGTGCATGAAAACTAATACTTTTTCATAATGTTGACCAAAACAGTAAATCATAACAGATTATATACAGTATTTCTGTAATATTGTACTTTAATAAAACTACTATCGTTTATTGAACTGTACATATATATAATATTAAGTAAATAAAAGCCAGTGGTAGCCAAGTGGTAACGAGCCCGCTTGAGAAACCGAGTGAAGTAGGTTAAAATCCCGGGTCTCGCATCTCTGATATTTCTATGTGCGAATCATTTCTAACATGATCACTTGCCTTATGGTGAAGGAAAATATCGAGAGGAAGCCTACATGTTTACCTAACAAGTGTAAAGAGAGAACCTAACAAGTTTTCGAAAGACATGTGAATTCCACCAACCTGCACATGGCGAGCGTGGTGGACTACGGCCTGATCCCCCTCATATTGAAGGAGGCCTGTGCCCAGCATTGGGACATTAAAAAGGGCTAATTAGACGGACTACGTAAATACGACGTTATAAATTAATTCTTATTTAAATGCCTATAGGGATTTTAGGTATAGTATACAGAAATAGGTAACCGACACGAAATCACTACTTTTTATTTGTTGTTCATATCAACAAATTTGAATAAAAAAATTTACAGTTTTTATTTTTCATAAAGAGAGTTCTATAAACATATCAAATCCTTTCGCTTTAGCACAATTATACTTATCTGTTATTTTTTTATTCTATAAATTTAGGCGAACAAAGATAAGGCCTGTTTGATGGTGACCAGTAAACCTTGGCCTACTTACGCTTGCAAAACCATAGGCCTTGAGGAAAACGATAGAAAAGATGGGAGAAAATGGAGGGAGGAGATGAACGATAGAAGGGGAAATGAATTTAGTCACAAGGGCTCTCCTTACCGCAAGAAACAAATAGTATGATATCGGTACCAGAACTTTACGTTAATACCCTGTGTAAATAAGTGCCTCGGAGGTATAGTAGATAGTATGTACGGCCGCATATCCGGAGATCTTTGGTTCGAGTCCATGGTGGGCCAAGTTTAGTTATTGAGATTTTCTTTTAAGAAATTCTCAGTAGTACTCAATCCAACTTTGAGAGTGAAACATATGCTGCTTCTGAGAGAGCAGGCTAGTCTCAGGAAGATAAATCGCCGTGGTCGAAATGGATCAGGAAGTACAATAAGTAATTTACCGCGTATTACATAAGGTATAGATATAAAATACACACAAAAAGAAGAATATATTGTATGAATATAACCTTAATCGGTCAAGCCGTTCAAAAATGCGCTTAGTAACAGATGCACCAACAATTATAAGACTTAAAGATTTCCACAACATTTTACAAGTCAAGAGCGCAGTCATCTCACTCGAGATCACAGCGGATTGACGTCAGTAGATCAATTAACGCAAGGCGCCGCCGCGGCGCAGGACACGGGTCTTGCTCTGATTGCATCTTTGTCCAGAATGGAACAACGGGTGTATTATCCTGTTTCCGGTATCCGGGCCGACGTCAGACAACTTACTATGTTTCTTTAAATTTTCTTGAGAGGTAAGATATATAGACATTATTCTATGGAAACGCAATGTCAGTATAAAACGTATCCTTTACCCTATCGTGCAAGATATTCAGTAACTAAATTTCATCCAATTTCGCTGAAAGGTTTAGACGTAATAGGATAACAAATATCTAGACTTAGATTAACGAATTTTAGGTATTGTCCGAAAAAAGACATGGAGCATTCAAAAGCATTTTATTGCCAGATACAATCTCCTTTAGACAACCTTTGGAAAGGATTTATTGAGACAGAGACTGAACGGTACAATCGTAATATAGTCTTGAAAAATAAATAAGTTTTTAGTTTCAACCTTCACCTCTAACTTATTACTTATTCGTTCTCTGAAATAATAAATTAATTATTATTTCACAAAAAGGTACATCTTAAAGTATTCGTCTATTCCGAATATACGATCAATTGTTTTCTTCAAATCTATTCAAATAAAATAATTAAATAGATTCACAATTACCTGATATATAGCGTAACGTACAAAATACACACCAAAATTAAATAGCACCCCTGTTCTTTAAAGTCGGTAAAAGAAATATACACTTGTTAATTATTTTGCCAGTGTCATGTCCATATAGACCCCGGACGGTCGCTGTACGTCGAAGTCAACCCTTGTCCAATTTTGATCGAATTAGGTCTCTGGTTTAAATTGATATGAATAATCGTATTAGTTTGGTTACACACGATGATTGGAAACGGTACCCTTTTTCGAACGACTTCAAAAGGAGGAATTACTAATATCGGGTGTAGGTTTTTGTGCGTAATAATGCTATCTTCGCAAATTACTATTTTCTTCATCTTTTTTTTACGGTTTCGTACCAAAATGGCTAAAAAGGAACCCTTTCGCTATGTTCGTCTGTCCATCTGTCCGTATGTCACGGCACAGATAATATACTATACTATTTTATTAGAAGAGTTATATATATTATACAAGCTACATTGCTGAATTTTAGTAGATATTTTATTTAATTGTCTCATGTAAGTAATAGTGTTGATAAATCTGTAGTCAAATTAGAAAAAAATAAAAAAAATAGTATAACTTTTTTCATCTAGACAAAAGAAAATGAAAAAAAATTGTGTGACTAGTGTAGACGAAAATTTGTTAAAATGGACGGTATAAATAAGTTTGTATTTATAAAATACTAGCGACTCGGGGTTTAGTATAGATTTCTCAGGGGTGAGATATTTTCCCAAATTAAAAAGTATCCTATACTTTGACCTGGAGAACCAGCTATCATCATACCAAATTTCATCAAAATATTTCCAGTAGTTTTCCAGGCAGATAGACAGACAAAAATTCTAAAAACTTTAGATTCGGTCTCTGTATCGATAACTAGTTACCCTCGTTTCGCTCGGGTTCGCAATGAATATCCGCGCCCTTTTTTATTTTTTTTAAAACACATTCCTATCGGCCAAGGTCACGTATATTATTTTCTATTAAAAAAACTCAATATATAAAAATGCAACCTTACACTATGCACTAATTAATTTTGCAGCCGAACGCGTGAAACGGAAAATATCTCATACCTTAAAAGTACTTAGAGGAATCCACCTCTTGTGTGTTGTCAAAAATATGTAATGATTTTAAAAAAAATCTAATTAAATTCACTAAAAAATGAAATAAAATACTTGAATGTACATACTTGAATGTCAAAATAAAGTCGTAACGGTAAACAGGTCCCTCCAAAACAATTACACGGTATTTAATATTTTAGCAAGTTCAAAATATTTTAATTATGCAGAAAAACATTTTACTAATGTTATGAGTTCAAAAGTTTTTCAGCATGGATGATTGTTACTATTTTACAAGATCAGCTACATGTACTTTAGAGTAGCACATACAGTATTTATATTTAGATACAAGCGACTTACCCTCGTTTCGTTCGGGTTCGTCTCTGGGTACTTTTTAACCGTTAGTATGAAAAATACATTATATACGTATATACATAGGTATGATGAGTTGTTGCGGCTTGTTTAATAACGTATTTTCCCGTGGGAATGAGAGAATCTCCCGTGGTAAAAAGTAACCTATGTTACTCTCTAACCTTCCAACTATCTCCACATAAAAAACGCGTTAATTCATTTCTTGTTATTTCGTTACGTTTTGATGTGATAGAAGGATAAACAAACAAACAAACAAACACATTTTCACGTTTATAATATTAATATGGATAGTCATAAATAAATGAACTACGTGGACAAAACCGCGGGTAAATGCTAGTAAAATATTGATTATAAACCATAAAACAACCTCCCACTGAAAGTGTATTCAAGCACGCACCACTGTACCAAACAAGCCATTTTCTATTTTCTATTAAAATTGTGAACGAATCCAGTAAGTGTATAAGCGATGCCAAATTGTTTCACGTGACTTTCTTATTTTCACTCCGATACGCCGTGAAATTGACTTTTGGTAAAACAATTTAATTGATTCCCTCCCAATTACCGAGTTTGCTCGACTATCTGCCATGTCACCGAAGTTTAGTCATTTTACGGCGTACTTTTCGATTGAAAGTTCAATTTTTGGGCTCGTTTAATTTGTACGACCGCTGTGCAGCCGCGAGATACAGTCAATGATTTTAAGGAGTACTACCACCCGCCCGTGGCTCTACTCGCTTATTATTATAACATTATATATAGACGTTGTTATAGCACATCTAACTATTATTTAAAAGCTCAATACTTTGTAGATTTAAAGCCACAAACAGAGCCTTTCAATTTCATTAATAATTATAGATATAGACACACAAATTCACTATTTTAATTGTAAATTACAATAAATTACAAAAGCTCAGTCCATATCTAGAGCCCATTATAACTCAGGACATGTTAGAGATCCCGTGGGAAAGCCTAGTGTTTATTTAGACATAAAGCGGTCACATAGAACAGAGCGATGGAAATTAAAGTTCTTATTCCCTGTGGGCTTTTTCTAACTAAAAGTATTTAAAAAACATTTTCAATAAACATTTCAACAGTTAGATTTAATCATAACATAGCGGAAAATAACGCTGAGGCGATATGAAAACCATGAATAAACTATTCTGCAAAAATTGCTCGCAAAAATTCCAAGCGAGCATCCGCTGTCGGCTGTAATTGATGTATCGATTGTGATGCGATCACAAAGCAAATATGATACTGGTGTCAAATGTTATAGAGCTAGTGCATGATTTATTGCATATTTGAGGATCTTTATTGGCATTGCTTGATGCGACGTAATTCGTACGTTCAATTTTTTAGGTTGGCTACCCAACTCTTGATTACTAATGTAGTACAGAATGTGGTGTATAACACCACACCAATGTTCTTACTTTTTATTCTATCTTTCTCAGGGTATAAGATATAATGCTTAAAATTTATTATTAAATGCAAATAATAGTTCTGAAAATTATATATCATATCTTTGTATATTTTTGCTAAATTCGCATATCTTCTCTACAAGATGTAAGAAGTTAACTGTCAAAGACACTAAAAAGATCTCACAGATCGGTCTGATTCCAATAAACTTCCCCTTATTGATCTCACCTGAATCTTTGAAAGCGAGGACAGACGATAGATAAGCTCCGCTCGACCACGTAAGCTTGTCTATAAGTTTCTATTATACTATAGAGATTTAAATTACCACGATTTTGTGATCGTGTAGCATTTTTATCAGTCATTTTATATACATTAATCACCAACATATCATATACTAAAACCTTTTCCGAAACACGCTGCATCTTATAATACGATTATTATTCCGATCGGTGCAGTAGTTATCGCAGTATAACCGAACAAAAAATCGGCTCTCCATTTATAAATATAAATACTTATGTATATACTAGCGACTCATCCTCGTCCTCTATATTCTGGGTACGTTTTAACGGTTAATATGGAATAGATTGACTATATATTATATCATATAACCTATAACCTTCCTCAATAAACGGTCTATCAAATGCAAACAGAATTATTCAAATCTGATTAGTAATTCTTGAGATTAGCGCGTTAAACAAACAAACTCTGCTTCTTTATAATATTAGTTAAAAGGCACAAAAAATAATTAAATTAGTGTGATACAAATAGTAAATTAAATAGAACTAACTTTTCGCAGTTTTCTTTCGATTCTTTTGTTCATTTATTTTAAGTACCTGGGTGACCGACAGCTCTGCTTTTTCGCGGAGTTTTTGGCCAAATGTACAATTTTCTTTAAAAAAAACTTGAATAAATACAACAAAAAAAACAAGAGCAAAAACTTTGTATCCAACCGGGAATCAAACCAGGACAACTGTATTGTCAATCTTGCGCCTTGGCCGCTTGACCACAATGCTTATGAGCGAGAGTGCAAAATTAAAATGTTATATATTTTGCGTGGAA